AAAAAATATTTTATCTGTTAAATTTCATCTGCAACAGCAATGAAAACTTTTATAAACATCCGTTTAGTCGGTTTAGTCGTAATGCATCATTATTCAAAGCAGTTCTCCGCATAAAGACCCACGGCTGGCAGATCAAAGTGCTACTTCTTTTCTCTCCGATATGGTAGGAAGTTAAATTAAATGAAATGTGGAGAATGTTAGCTGTGAGAAGATGATTGACATGCCAGTATAATGTGTGTAATTATGCGACAGAGCAGTCCGTTAAAGACACAATTGTATGACGTGATAGTATGTCCTAAAGCTTGCCTACTCTTGTACTTTTTCTTCACCAAAAAAGTACGTACTTTAAGGACGTAGTATAAGTAGGCACATTGGGACAGTAGCACTGGTTGTTGCTGTGCCCGTCCTCTCTCTCACACCCACGCCTGTCAGGAACCTGATGAAGGGCGATTTAAGGGATGGGATGGGGTGCGTTAATAATAAGGGGAGGCAGCTTTTCCGTCATATTTGTTAATTATATGGTAACAATTTTGTTTTAACACATCATGCAACACTACGCCATAGTGTAACCAGTAGCTTACAGTTGAGGGTTATGTTGCAACTTGGCTCTTTAATATGGAGTGTGCAACTATTCTTCAATTGGCTGTTTTATAATGGACTCAAACTTGGCTCATCCACTCTTATTCGTAATGAATTGTTTTTTGAATCACTAGATTTTTGAAAAATAGCCGTGGTCATGTAATATATATGAACAATTTGAAAGCTGCATTTACTGCAAAGTGTATTGTATACACTTACCATGGTACCAAAAATCCTGGTATGAAAAATTCTAATAAGATTTTGGTCATATAAGTACATTATTATTATAACACTGGAGACCTAAACGACCATCTGTAATGTCTGTTTAATTTAGAATAAAAAAGCCAGTAATTTGGTGACTTTGGTGTTGATTTGTGAAGAACTCTTATAATGTTTTGCTTGTTTCTAGGGCTGTGCAATTAATCGCATGCGATTGTCAAGCGCATCTCGTCAGTAAAGCCGGTTCCGTGATTGGTAATAAATCTCCATCACCTGCTTTCAGATGGAGCGGCATTTAATACACAGAGCCGTAGTTCACTGACAAGCTAGGCAATATCACATTCATAATCGAATGCAATTCAACGCGATATTGCCTAATTGTCAGTGAGCTACAGCTCTGTGTAGTTAATGACAGAATTTTCATTTTGGGTGAACTAACCCTTTAAGTAGAGAGGATAAAGGGGGTTGAGTTACTAATAATCAACATTTAACCTGGTAAAAAAATATTTATTTAATTTTATCTGTTAAATTTCATCTGCAACAGCAATGAAAACTTTTATAAACATCCGTTTAGTCGTTAACTTTTAAATGCATCATTATTCAAAGCAGTTCTCCGCATAAAGACCCACGGCTGGCAGATCAAAGTGCTACTTCTTTTCTCTCCGATATGGTAGGAAGTTAAATTAAATGAAATGTGGAGAATGTTAGCTGTGAGAAGATGATTGACATGCCAGTATAATGTGTGTAATTATGCGACAGAGCAGTCCGTTAAAGACACAATTGTATGACGTGATAGTATGTCCTAAAGCTTGCCTACTCTTGTACTTTTTCTTCACCAAAAAAGTACGTACTTTAAGGACGTAGTATAAGTAGGCACATTGGGACAGTAGCACTGGTTGTTGCTGTGCCCGTCCTCTCTCTCACACCCACGCCTGTCAGGAACCTGATGAAGGGCGATTTAAGGGATGGGATGGGGTGCGTTAATAATAAGGGGAGGCAGCTTTTCCGTCATATTTGTTAATTATATGGTAACAATTTTGTTTTAACACATCATGCAACACTACGCCATAGTGTAACCAGTAGCTTACAGTTGAGGGTTATGTTGCAACTTGGCTCTTTAATATGGAGTGTGCAACTATTCTTCAATTGGCTGTTTTATAATGGACTCAAACTTGGCTCATCCACTCTTATTCGTAATGAATTGTTTTTTGAATCACTAGATTTTTGAAAAATAGCCGTGGTCATGTAATATATATGAACAATTTGAAAGCTGCATTTACTGCAAAGTGTATTGTATACACTTACCATGGTACCAAAAATCCTGGTATGAAAAATTCTAATAAGATTTTGGTCATATAAGTACATTATTATTATAACACTGGAGACCTAAACGACCATCTGTAATGTCTGTTTAATTTAGAATAAAAAAGCCAGTAATTTGGTGACTTTGGTGTTGATTTGTGAAGAACTCTTATAATGTTTTGCTTGTTTCTAGGGCTGTGCAATTAATCGCATGCGATTGTCAAGCGCATCTCGTCAGTAAAGCAGGTTCCGTGATTGGTAAAAAGTGTATTGTATACACTTACCATGGTACCAAAAATCCTGGTATGAAAAATTCTAATAAGATTTTGGTCATATAAGTACATTATTATTATAACACTGGAGACCTAAACGACCATCTGTAATGTCTGTTTAATTTAGAATAAAAAAGCCAGTAATTTGGTGACTTTGGTGTTGATTTGTGAAGAACTCTTATAATGTTTTGCTTGTTTCTAGGGCTGTGCAATTAATCGCATGCGATTGTCAAGCGCATCTCGTCAGTAAAGCCGGTTCCGTGATTGGTAATAAATCTCCATCACCTGCTTTCAGATGGAGCGGCATTTAATACACAGAGCCGTAGTTCACTGACAAGCTAGGCAATATCACATTCATAATCGAATGCAATTCAACGCGATATTGCCTAATTGTCAGTGAGCTACAGCTCTGTGTAGTGAATGCCGCTCAATCTGTTGTGTTTTTCTCACAATTAGTTTTTGTTTGCATCTAGTTAACTCAAACTATATGTATAGCTAATATGAATGTTATCTAAGAGATCACACAGATCAAACACAATTGGTTTTGATAATGACAGCCAAAGGCTCATCCTTAGCACAACACTCACTTGCTGCCGCAGGCCTAGACAGTTTCCTACAACTGCTAATAGATATTGAACACACTCAATTAACATCCCACACAGCACGCTAGTGATAATTGGGTCACTTATCGATGTCGTTCTCCCGACTCCAGCGCTACATCTTTATGTGATTTCTTTTGAGTTTGAGCAGTGGAAAATAACTCAAGATGACAAGAAAGGTGGAGTGGATAAAGGGTGGGGATGGAGAGAGAGGGGGGTGGCAGGGTGGAGAACCATTGAGAGACTGAGAGAGAGGTGGGCGGGATCGAGAGAGAGAGGGAAAATGAGTCAGCTGATATACCTCACAGTTTCCATGACAACCGCAGGCCTTTCCCACCCACTCCTCCCCTTATTCTCTATTTCGTTCCCACCCCGGCTCACTCGCTCTTGTTTTCTCTCACTCGTTTCCTCCCAACACCTCCAGTTACACAACTGTATAAACTCTGTCTGTACCTGTCTTGACTTTTTATTGTTTGATGTCATGAGAATTTGCCATGCTGCTTATGTTTTTGATGATGTCATTTAAGCATGTGAATTGGAAAGTTAAACATTTAAATGCATCTAAGCAATACCATGCATGCATATGCACTTTGTGTGGATTCCTCAAGCTGAAAGATCTCATTACAGCAAATTAACATAAAACCTTATTATTAATGCAGGCATCACTATTATAATAATTAATTGATACCTATTATTGAGTATTTAGAGAGAAAATGGAGATGAGCATCTAATAAAAGCATAAAATACAATACAATTAATTTTAAAAACAATAAATAAATGGTACAGCAATAAATAAAAGCAATTTGACTAATTAAAATAATGTGTTTGACACAAGAAATTTGTATTATGTTTTATTTACATCTCCAGTAATGGTTTTAAAATAAGCTTACTTTAAAAACCTCTTTTAAAAACAAACAAACAAACAACAATATAATAATAATAATAATAATAAACATGCACTCACCTGGAACTTTAAAATGCCAATTTAAAATGTAGACTGCCCATTGGAAAAAATATTTTATTTAAAAATATTTTAATTAGTATTTTAACAGCAAGCAGGATGTGAAAGAAAAATCATTTATGAAAAATCTGAACAGTGTTTTTACCTATTTACATCCTTTAAATTCCTATAGACTTACATTGAAGAATGGAACTAGAGACCAGGGTATCATAGAGACCCAACCACTGCAAAGCAATGTGCAAAAAAAACACTCAGAACACTTTACCAACCACATAGCAACACCCTGGCAACCACCCACAACATCCTAGCATCATGGCTGTGAGTTTTGCATGGAAAGGCAGCAGAAGTTTAACGTTTAAACACACCAACCTCTTTCTTTAGGAATTAGTTTCAAACTTTTCATTTGTTTTATTACCTTCACCGAAAGCATAAACACACAGGCCTTAAGGTTACTTATAAGTCTCACTGCAGAGGGAGTTTAGTGGGTGTAGCTTGTGTGCACATACATACACAGATCTTGTGTATGTGTGTATAAATGTGTGTGTCTGGGCTTGGCTGTGTTGAGCTGGACTCATGCCAGGTTTAGGCCTTCTCCTCTGCAGCGCAGAGGCCCAATCTGGCCAGCCATTGTTCCTGTGTTTTGTGGAGCTGCTGCAGAGCTGAGCATGAGCGCTCCGTACCCTCCCTTTCCTTTCTATCCTTCCTAATCTCCTTCCTCGCCTCGTTTGCTCTTCCGTATTTGTTCCTTATCTCCCTTATACCCTCGCTTTCCTCACAGTTTTCTTCTATTTTTGTGCTTCTACAGAAAGAAGAGCCATTAGACGAATATCCTGAGCCTACAGACCTCAAAATCAAGTCCTCGCCCCCTCCGCTCCGTGACATCAGCACCCAACACAACAATGACGACCAGACGGAACCCGTGGACCTGTCCCTCAACAAGCCCCGCCCTTCCCTTCCGGTAGCCACGGCAACCTCCACCCCGGCAAACCCGCCTCCTCACAACATCACGGTGAGCGCCACCATCCCGGCGGTGCTGTCGCCGGGCTCCATCCTGGCGTCCACGCAAGGGGTCGGAGGTCAGCAGATCCTGCATGTCATCCACACCATACCCTCTGTGACCATGCCCAGTAAAATGGGGCAGCTGCAGACCATCCCCGTGGTGGTGCAGTCCTTACCGGTGGTCTACACAACCATACCCACAGACGGAGTGGCTACCGCCGCCATCACAGTACCTCTCATCGGAAGCGACGGGCGGTCGGAGGGATCAGGTAATATGGCTGTGTCCTATTGCACATGCTCGGTTGTAGCGCTAGTAGTCTAGCTTTAAAGTCTCATTTTATCATACTGTTCTTTAATTTGGTATGGCACACATTGTTCTAGTTTCAGGTCACAGCCAATTGTGCTCTGACCTTGTAACTGAAAGAGATATAGAATGAGCATCCACAACCTCATAAATCTATATAATAGCTACAATAGTAGGGTTGGGAATCATGAACCTGTTCTTATTCAAAACTTTTTTACAACATACCGTATCCGTATGCTTTTCTTGATGTTCAGTTCCGTTGGTGGAGCGTGTGAGAACGGAAACAGCCTAATAAAATGACGTTTTTGTCATGACGTTTATGGTACGTTTTATTTTTGATGGTTATATGCAAGCTTTCAAGCAAGAGTCATTAATATTAGAAGTCATTGTAAAAAGATTTTTGTGGCGTATGTGCCGCTTTACCGATGATAGGGCTCCAAATCCAAGCAAAGTTTTTCTTTGATGTGAGCAACTGATCAACTTTTTTTTTTCTAATTTGTTTCCAGGACAGTCAATTGGTTTAAAATTGTATTAAATGTATTGCGATATTACATATTAATTAGTATAATATTATTAGAAATTTAATGTTTAAATTAATTTATTAATGTCTTAATGGTTTTGTAGTTTAAGTATTTTTGAGTATGTTTTTAGTGAAAGAGCCACACAATATGCGCTACAATTTGAAAGCTTGGGGTCAGTAAGATATTTAAAAAAAAACATTCATAAAGGATGTTTAAAGCATTTATTCAGAAAGGATGCATTACATTGATCACATGTCTATTTCCATTTCAAATCAGTTCTCTTTTTAAATTTCTGTTCAGCAAAGAATCCTGAAAAAAAAAAGTATTACTGTTTCCACAAAAATATTTGGCAGCACATTCGTTTTCAACATTGATTATAATACGAAATGTTTCTCGAGCACAAGCATATTAGAAATATTTTTTTTTTATATCATGTGACAGTAAAGACTGGAAAATTCAGCTTTGCCATCAAAGAAATGAATTACATTTGAAAATATATTCAGATAGAAAACAGTTATTTTAAATTGTAATAAAAACGTTTTTTTTTTTTGGATCAAATAAATATTGCATTAATGAACATAAGGGACTTCTTTTAAAAACATGAAAAAAGTCCTACTGAATATTTCTCAAACTGCATTAAATTGTGCAAGAAATTAAAATACAAATCTGCTTTAATTCAATGATAACTTTCTGTACACTTTATAGATGTTACATGTGTTAAGATCAGTAAAGATCAGTTTTAGAAATTTTCAGCAGTTGTAGTGTTAAAGGGTTAGTTCACCCAAAAATGAAAATTAGCCCATAAATTACTTACCCTCAAGTCATCCTATGTGTATATAGGGCCTTTCGCACCACTTTAGTTCCAGAACTAAATGTACAGTACTAAAGTACTGGGACGATTTTGCGTGAACTATTTCCCAGTACCATTTAAAGGGTTGCATTCGCACCGAGAGTGTGTACTAAGAAGTGACGTAAGCCGGTCGACAGCGTCGTCATTTGTGCACGGCATTCAACAACAGAAACAAAGAAGAACAACATTAACAACAGGAATATGCAAAAAAATAAGAAATCACGAAGGGGGCCAACACTTTTTCACACCACTGTACGTCACGATTAGTACCAGTTGTGCTGGTTAGACCCTGATCCGGAGTAGGAGCTAATTTTGTTCTCGAAAAAGGCAGTCCAGTACTAAAATCGCACCCAGTTCCGGCGGTGCGAAAACGCCAAAAAGTGGGCATGCGCAACGCTGACCTCATACCTCATCAGCCCAGAACTGCTTCCGTGTACAGCTGTTGGCGCAAGCTACATTAAAGTGATTATTACATTTTGAATATTTTTTATGGATGGGCACTTTTTATTTAACTTGTTTTTGAATGATGCATGCAACACCCGCTGAGTGGCATTAAACAGCTTGAAAGATCAAAGACATTTTTTAATATAACTCCGACTGGATTCGTCTGAAAGAAGAAAGTCATATACACCTAGGATGACTTGAGGGTAAGTAATTTATGGGCTAATTTTCATTTTTGGGTGAACTAACCCGTTAAATTGAATGAATCTGTTAATGCTTTTAAACCTATTTAATTGCATCATTAACTTTGACAGCTCTCATTATAATCATTTTGTTGAAATCTGAAATGATTAATCTCATCATTTGACAGGCTACTATAAGTCTTATTTTCCAAATATTGTCTATTATTTCTTCCTCAAAACTACTAAAAGGCTCATTAAGGAACCCGAATCATTAAATGGAATAGAGGCAGGATCATTAATTACTTTACAAATCCCCATCCCTATTCAGTAAAGTGACATGCTCATACTCGGGTAGAAATGTTCTTGTAGGCATGCATGAATTGGCATTGTGCAGTGTGTCAAAAGCAAGAATCCAAATATGAGCCTGGGATGGATCTTGTCTTCTCTTTATGAAACTGTCATTTAGTTCTTCCGCCCATTTCCTTTAGGCGGTCACACCCTTGGTCTTGCCCTCTTGCAGTTTCGTGCCATTGCCGTTTAGTTATCAGCATACAGACGCTGCTTCATCCCACACATGTGGATGATGTGCATATAAAAGACACAAAAGATGATTTCAGGGCGAGGCGATGTTGCATCAGCTTTTGACATAGCATTTATCTTTTAAGCAGGAAAAATGATAAAACTTTACTGTAGTAGCCATAGTTTCCCACAAATACCACAGTAACAATGGTTGGTTAGTGGTCTTTCTAGGCACTATTACCATTTCTCAGTCTTAGGGGTTTGTAGAAATGCCTAACCCTAAGTAAACTTTGGTGCATAAATTGTCCCAAGACAAAACTGTGGTTATTTTTGAGAGAGGAACCATTGATATTTACATTTAAGACTTAAGTTTTCTTCCCAAAAAATTGGGTCTTTACTTACTTCACCCCTCTTTAGAGTGAAATGGTTCGGTCCGCTTCAGTCTTTTTCTTCTTCTTATTGCCCTTTTAATCTCACTGCTTTCAAGTTCCCCTGAAAAGACATCATGCAGGTCTTGGACCATAATAAGAACATTAAAACACAAAAAGTGCTGAATAAAATGTGCTGAATGTTTTTTTAATAGAAGAACCCCACCCAAATAAAACTATGAAAAAAAAAAACACTGATGCTTGTTTAACACACTAATACAACCCCAAAGTATGAACTCAGGGTGGAGTTGTGCTTGGCTTTTTTTTTTTCACGGTTATTAACTTTGTGTGTAGCTCCGTGAAACCCAGTTGAATGTAATGGACAGATTATGAAGGTCAGCGGATTGTGTTATTTGGGTGGGGACCATCTTCAAAGAGACCGTAATGTAGATCAGTTTCTTTTGGACTCAATTTATGGGAAAACTACCAAGTTGGAGGACTCGCAGTGCTTTATTGAGCAGGCCCATTGCACCCCATATTGTCTCGAGTGAGAGGCCGTTCATGAAGTATCTCTGTATATGGGTTTTTTGTCTTTTGAGTAATGTGGGGCAGTTGGGGTTGAGGAGAGGAGACAATTAATGAAAGGACAGCACCCTTCCCCCTTTCATTTGGAAAGTAATCTTCGAATACTTCTACAAATCATCTCCTCTGTGGCAGGTTAAAGGTCATGTCCAGAGATATCAGGCCAGAACGTAACTATCCACACCCTGTGTCAATATGGAACATGTATTTAACTTGTAATATTTTTTCCTCTTTTTCTTTGTCCTGTGGACTTGAGAACTGGTGCCTTTGACGATAGCAAGACAATTATTATTAATATTATTATTATCAGGCTAGTATTAATATCTAATTAATATTAGGGCTTATTTGTTCCATCATATTTCTTTTCCCGCGTTTTTACCGTGTTGCGCGTTATAACCAATCACACATTATTCCGTTGAGTTTAAGAATGCAGCAGCCAATCAGAGGCGTTCAGATGAGTCATCACTGAAACACTGGAGTTTTGTTGTTCAGTGCGCTCACTGATGGATTTCTGCTCTCTCGCAAATTCTCTCATTATAAACAACAAAGGGCAGATGCATAGATATGTATAGATACATATATATATATCTATGTGCAGATGTACGTGCCATGTAAGTATAAGAGATTTATTCATCATACAGTGTAGATAGCTTCACTGATTATAACGGGAGTGTTTTATAAAAATGCATAAACTTGCACTAGACTGAAATCAGTGACGATGTTCTTTGATAATGTAAATATTATTTTTTCGTTTTCTGTAGATGCTTGTTTGAATAATTTAGGAAATGTAAGCATTATAATTAGTAACTTACAATGTTTCTATTAAATTGTTATCATGTAAAAAACAAATTCAGTCATATTAAAAATATTTTATGACATGACATTCATATGCTACTTGACTAAAGATATGTGTAGTTAATAGATTACAGTAACATTAGGCTGCTTTTAGCCTTACCCTGGAGTTGGTTCACTCTCCGGATATGAATCTAAGGAAGTAATTAAATAAATTAACATGATAATATCATGTATCGGCGATCTCACAGGCTGATGCGATAGGACGATATGACTATGGAGCATATCGCCCAAAACTACTTCTCACAAATTTAAAATATTGTTCTGAATCAAATAGGGTCCTGGAAGTGATGTTGTTTGAATTAAACTTATGGCAGGAAGGGTTTTCTGTATTTGATTTAATATGGCTTGTTTGAGAAATGGGCACAGTGCTCTACTCACACCTTATTTCAGTGGGAGGCTTCTTAAACATGTGAACAGAACAACATATACAGTGGGGTTTGAAAGTCTGAGACCACATTGCAAGAGCTGAGTTTTCTTTAGAACCACTTCCATTAAAAAAAAAATTGGAACCAAATATAGATCAGTTCGATGTTCATTTTACATTATGTCAGCTGGTTACCAAGGCAGCTTTTCTCATTTTCATTTACTTTATGTACTAAAGTAACTAAAACTGAAATTAAAAATTGAAATTAAAATTGAAAAGCATATTAATAAACTGATAAAAGCTAAAAACTTACTAAAATTACAAAAATAAACAAAATTACTAACAACTTTTAAATTAAATTGAAAGCAGAAAATGTTTATATTTGGATAAATGTTTATATAAGTATACTGTATATATTTCTTGCGCAATTTAATGCAGTTTGAGAAATATTCAGTAGGACTTTTTTCATGTTTTTAAAAGAAGTCCCTTATGTTCATTAATGCAATATTTATTTGATAAAAAAACAAACATTTTTATTACAATTTAAAATAACTGTTTTCTATAATATAATGTAATAACATATAAATATTAATATATATTCAAAATATTAATAATAATAGTAATGATAATAAAGGGTTAGATACTAAAAAATGCTGAAATTAATTTTGATATTTCATTTGAGAATTTCACTCATATTTCTGTTTATTTTTTTATTTTATTTTTTTCAGTGCGTATAAAGCCAGGCTCAACCTCTCCAGTCGAGTATCAGTCTGAAAGTGATGCTGAGAGTGGCACAGAGTCTGGATCGGCCTCTTTCAGCACCCAAGGGATGGAACCCAGGTGAGAGAGAGTGTATTTGTGTATCCATATACATCTGTATATCTCCTTATGTATATATATATATATATATATATATGGTAGAGTGTCTGGCATCCTGGTCTAATGGCATCACTGCACCACTCCTCTGGACGATTATGTAACCTTCAACACACTGGAGGCCCATGGCTCTTTTTACGTTGATTATAAGCTTCTGTTGGGTGTGTGTGTTGCTGGGCAGGGTTCTCTTTTTAAACTGGGTGTAAACAATGTTACATAACTTGCAATGTCGTCACTCCTTTGAAAGAGGGAGTAAAATGCAAAGAAGGACAGACAGAAGTGGCAGGGTAATGGGGCAGGATGGAGAACAAGAGGGTCTTTTGCTGGTGTGTGTATAATTGTTCGGACATGCGGTCAGATGATTGCTGGGAGAGAGAAAATTCGATGGAAATGAGTTGGGAGAAAGAGGAATGGGAGTGAACTCGTTAGCAGCCAGGGAGGGGAAAGGAAGAGGCTGAGAAAGAGAAAGAGTGAGGAAGGAACGGAGGGGAGAGAGACACGGGCTGAACAAAAAAACATCGCGGGGGAGGTGGGGGATTGGAACGGGAAGGGAAAGGGAGAGAGATCGGCATTGAACTGGAAGCTCTCCAGCTGTATGGAATTTAGATACACATACACGCCTGCTCTTCAGCCCTCCCTGGTGGCCAATTAGGATTGTTGCACCAGGGGTCATGTCATGGTGCTATTTACATATATTCGTCATACTTCTGTGGTGCCCCAGAATCATTTTAAGTAGCGTTTTTACACTGCCAGATTATTATATGTATGCATAGTAATTAGAGGATCATATTTGATTCTATTTTTTTTTTTGTATTATTATTTAAAATCAGTAGGGTTTTTAGAACTGGTGTCACGTTTGCTGGCATCATGCGTACTAAAATGAATAAATGCCACTGCGGTTTTAAATGATTTTTATGTAAAATAGTAAAAATTAAAATAAGCTAAACATAAGCTAAGCAATGTGTAATTTAAACTAAATTTTAAATGAAATAATGGTCGTTTCCAAACAGGTTTTTCAAACCCCATCTATAGTGGTTCAGACAAACAGGAAGTCCAAACTAGGGCTTGGCGATATAGCTAAAATTTTTATTTTTTTCCCCATTTTTTTCTCTCTCGGTATATCAGTATTTTTGTAGATGCACTCAAAAAATTTAAAAAGGTGATTTTTTTTTTGCTCCCCCATGGAATATAAGTGATATGGATACAAAATATTTACAAAGTACATACAATTTGCACTAATTAAAATAAATAAAGACAGTGATTACAAAATTAACATTTTAAAATAATTTGTACTTAAAAGTACCAAAAAAAAAAACAATGCTTTTTTATTATTATTATTGTCAAAGACACTGTACCTTGAAATGTTAATTACTGAAATGTAAGGCTGTGTAGGCTAGTAAATGGAACACACAAGAAAGGGTGATTCATCTAAAAACTTGTCGATATCACCGTGCAGCAACATTTAACCTCCAGATTCTTGTTTGGAATGTCCAGGAAACTTTTTCAAAACAGTTATTATTGTTTGGTGCCATTAGTGGTGCAGAAATGACACGCTTCACCTTTAAGAGTGTCGCAATTACAAGTTTTTATTGCATCACTCGTCTAATTTGATCACTGTAATCCCAAGGATTTTTGCTAGATAAATCAGTTTTACTCATGAAGATGTTTGTCCCTGCCTTCACATGCAAAAATGCTCTCTTAACCTTTAGTTTATCGGATAGGCTTAGGTATGACTTGAACTGGTTGCCACACCCTAATAACTAAAACGTGTCATTTTGTTCTCAGTATGAATACAGATGTGGACATCCAAGTTGACCCTGACTCACCAGACATGAAGAGAAGGCGCGTACACATGTGCGATTATGACGGCTGCAACAAAGTCTACACCAAGAGCTCGCATCTGAAAGCCCATCGCAGAATACACACAGGTATACCTTTTTCCTTGTTTATATAAAGTCAGGTCAGCTTTATATAGTGCTTTATACAATACAGATTGTTTCAAAGCAGCTTTACAGTGATAAACAAGAAAATAGTGATTCGATGATGCAAACAGAATTCAATTCTGCTGTAAAGCAGCTCTAAAAAGACAACTGCAAACAGTCATTATTCAGTTGAAATCAGTTCGTTGTTGATTCAGTAAGTTCATTAATTGTGTGAAGTCCATCAATTATGTGATGAGTTTAATTAATCTATAAAGCAGCTCTGGAACAAACAGTGATGTCATCATCCAGCTCAAATACATGTGTAAATAAAGTATAATACACAAATAATACACAATAAAATGGGTCAGTAACAGAAATGTTTGCTTTTATTCAGCAAGGGTGCATTAAATTAATCAACAGTGGTATTAAAGACATTTATAATGTAAAAAAAAAAATTATATTTTAAATATGCTCTTATTTTGACGTATATCAAAGAATCCTGAAAAAATCACAGTTTCCACAAAAATCTTAAGCAGCACAACTAATTTCAACATTGATAATAATAAGAAATGTTAAGATAATAAACCAGATCAGCATATTTCCAAAGGATCATGTGACACTGAAGACTGGAGCAGTGGCTGCTGAAAATGCAGCTTTGCCATCACAGGAATAAATTACATTTATATATTTTTTTATAATGATATTTCACAGTATTTCTGCATTTTTTATGACATTAGTGTATATATACATATATATCATGTTGATTGACATGGTGATGACTTTACAGGTGAAAAGCCATACCAGTGCACATGGGAGGGCTGTACCTGGCGCTTTGCCCGCTCGGACGAGCTGACGCGGCACTTTCGCAAGCACACCGGCATCAAACCCTTTCGCTGCACTGACTGCGACCGCAGCTTCTCCCGCTCTGACCACTTGGCACTTCATCGACGGCGCCACGTCATGATGTGAAACTCTTTGACCCCTTCCTCCCCAGCCCTCAGGAGACATGCACGCCCATCCAGGGGTTCCAAATGCTATTGACGTCACCTCCCCAGTCTCCAGATGTGAACATATGTGTTAAATATGGAGGTATAAGGGGTGGCACGACCATATTGGTTACCCCTACTGGTTAGAGCATGGCTGCAGTTTTCTGCCATGCCTCCAGAAGCCACAAACCACCCGTCCACTGGTGACCCCCACCGCCATCTCAATGCCTGATCATTAGCCATTACTTGAAGGGACTACAAGAAAGGCAAACTGCACACAGCACTGCTATATCTATAACAGAGAATGATGACTGGGGAAGGGTTGGAGATGCATCTACAGCTGCCTTGTTGAATTCTTACATTTTATCCAAACTTTTTGTTGTACTAAATTTGTATACTCACGCTAGGGTTGGGCGATGTCTACCAAATTGGCATCGGACGATGTCTACAGTGAAACATCGTGATGGACGATGACATCGGGGGGCGGGGCGGGGTTAGGGGTGTGCCTTAAGCGTGAAACAAATAACGCGTTATACGGAGCCACTAAAAGGTTAGCCGCTTGCTAGCGGTAGCCTGTTGCATTACAGTACATGAAAGTTCACTTACCACATACACAGAGTAAGGAGAAATGTCTGATAGGACGATGGCGAATGATTTGCAGATCCTGAGCACCAATGACAAACATCTAATCTTGGCAAATGTGTGGTAAGTACTGCTGCTCCATAGTATAGAGTCCTTGTGATCGCGAATCTCAAAAGTGAAAGTGAAAGTAAAATGAGAGCGCGCAATCGAAAGCGGTTTCAATAGCGGCTCCCTGATGCCCGCAATTTATATACAGTCGCCTATATTTACCCAACGATATAATTGCGAGAAAAGGTATTGAAATATTTTTTTTATCCTCCCATCTCGTAGGCTATTTATTCCCTTTAGGGTTTCCGTAGTACACTTCATTTCCTTTCCTAACACGGAACTGGGATGAGGCGGATTGTGGGAGAGGGGGGGGAATCACGATGTCAGCTTAACATCGTGATGTCTGTCAGCCATCGGCGATGGACGATGGCATCGTCTATCGGCCCAACCCTAACTCACCCCAAACCCTACATTCATTTTAGAGTCTGTACGTTTCTGTGTGGATGGAAATGGGCGTAGAGCACATTGTAAAGACAGCTGAAGATGTACCATGCCCTCTTTTAGTTTTTTTTTTTTTTTTAACAAATCAGTTAGGTGTTTTTCTGATATCTACCCTAACCCAAATGAGTAGACAAGACTGTGAATTTTTGTAATTTTTTTCTTAAATAGTATCTGTTGTCTAAGCATCAAAAGTAGGTGCAAAAAACAGTATTTGCTTTTTTTTGTTTGTTTGTTGTTTTTTAAAGACATTTTCATTGTAATTAATGGCGTCTAACAGAATTAACACTCATCAAAAGGTGTTCTTTATCTTTATCTAACCTTCAGATATTATTTCATATGGCTGTGAAAAAAGTTTGAAAAAAAGAAACAACTCGCAGGGAAAGGGGGAGATTTCTAAATTGGGATGTGTGTGTTTGTGTGTGTGTGTGTATAAGCACACTTGTTTGCATATTTGTAAAGAAGACATAATCAGAGATATAATAGTAGAGATGTCTAGATGCATTCTTACTTCTAGCCAATCAGAGCCTTAATTGAAGTAAATGTGCAAATCTGATTTGCGCAGCAGGTTTTCGGAGTTCCTCAGGGTTCGATACTGGGACCCCTATTTTTGTGAGGCACCCTGAAAATCCCTATTTGCACCTAGTTCACAATGACAAAGCATGTCTTAACAGCTCCTGCCCTGATATGCATGATATGCAAAAATACCCCTCAACACCCTCTCTCCCTTCTCCCCAAAATGCTGTTGATGTTACTTGACGTTAATGTCAAACAAATGTTGGCACAGTCCACTTAAATCTTTGAGGAGAGGGTACCTTTGACACATTTCTTCCCTCTAGCTTGCACTCATAGCCATGATCATAATTTCAATTGCTAGCAGCTGATTAAGTGCGCATTAAGACTTTTTTCAGAAGCAACGCTTGATTCCAGCCTTTGAGAGTTAAGTGCATGTCTGCAGCAGCTGCACGACCTTCAGAGAGCAATGCATTCGTAGATTTTGTATTGTTCTCTCGCTTCAACCCGAAAACGTTACTAAGCACATCTTTCTAGAAGAGTATATGCATTTGATTGCGATCCTTTCTTTTTAAAAAAACTGTTCATAGACATACAGACAATGAATAATTAAAGAGTTAATGTACATACTGTATATAATCTACAAAGTTCTTGAATAAATGTAACGGGTGGATTTCTATTTTTAACACTGACTAGATAATGTGAAATACTCGTTTTCATTTTATTTTTTGTCGTTTCTTTGAAATGTATTTTTTTCTTTCTTTAATCCCTTGAAATGAGTCCCCTATGTGTTGTACACCTCAAAAGTGTTGCATGGAGAGTAGTTCCTTTTTTTTTTTTTTTGTGAAGTTGGTGAGCATGTCAAAACGTTGGTGCCCTTACAGACGTGAAGCACTGATAATCCACATGAAATCCATGAAATTTTTGCAACCATGGCCATTCGTAGCACATGCATGGCCTATTTCTAATTACTACAAGACATGCTGGTAAAACCTTCATATCATCCTAAATTGACATTATTCTATTCCAAGTAGGCATAACATTAGGAGATTAGGAGTTGGCCTCTTATCAATGTTTAAGTGCCCATGACTGAAATTTGTGACATCCTTGTCTATCTGAGCACGTTTGCATTCATCACTTGTATCTGATTTGTTTAAAATAGGTTGCTCGAATCATGAAAGGGTTTGGGTTTTGTGTGAGTGAATATGTGCAAGTGTGATTATCATTCAATTCTCTTTTAAACTTTCTGAATCATAGGTATTTTATATTGAATGCAGTAACTTATGGGCCAGTACTATATTACTCAGTGCAATGCAGTTATCATTATAACAAAACAAGTAATTAATGTTATTTCTTTTGTATTTGTACAGAACAAGTGTGTAAAGATCAGAGAGGAAAATGTGAGCGTTTTGATACTGTGAGAAATGGTGTTAAAAGTCAGTTTCCCCTGTACAGTTGTGATTACCCACTCCTTTTATAGAATAAAATGTTGCAACGAGTGTTGTGTATTATAATTCAGGAATGGTCTATTTTGTCTAATTGTTTTGTAACTGATTTTTTTTATTTTTAAAGAAAGAAAAAAAAAACAGGCTCATTTTATTAAGATTAAATGAAGATTACTATAATTTAAGACCCGAAGCAGGAGGACGTGTTCTTGTAGCAACTTCCTTATTTCTGGCTTGGCACTTTTTTGGCATGAATATTCTCACAGGATGTCTTGCTTGATAAAATCACGTCACTGGTATAATGTAATTATAGAGTTTATATACTCATTTTTGTTTGTTCAAATATATAAATGATCCAAATAAAACAATTCGGTGTTCAGTGTCTTGAAGAACTCTGCTGTGCAACCATGTGGCGGTGCTGAGACGCCCTGCTGTTGTTTCAGGTTCAGCTGCAGCAGCGGTCTTTCGTGTTGCGCCCTCTAGTGGTGTAGGCCTACATGTCTAACAACTTATGTCAAAGCACTACTAGAAAGTCAGTGTCCTCTTTTAAAGTCTTATCATTCCACTTACATCAAGTAGGTAAATATATATTATGGTGAAATATGTTATAATTTTGTCAATAAAATTGCCCGGCATGGTCTAACCATAGTCAAAGTCCAACGTTGTAACTCGGTCAGGACTTTAAAGTTCATATTAAGTGGTGCTAGCACTTTGTTTGTTCCTGAAATTATATTACCCCAGTGTCTGGGGGGGATAAATTACGGTCAAAACAATCTTTATGACACTCACTTCTCAACTGGTGCAATAATGATTAACACTGACCCCGAGATACAATTACAAAGCTTAGCCTATACTTTGGTTTTCGAGCGATGCGCATTTATTGAGCGTTCTTTACAGCAATTTCAACAAATGTCAGACAGCTGACATGTAACCCATCTGAAATATTTGAAAAGACTGAAAGACTATCTGACGCTCTCCATTTCTGTCAAGCGGTAGACTATAAGGGGCAAGTTTTAACTGGATTCGCACTGCTGCTCTAAGCACAGTTAACACCTCAGGAATGAGCGAGGCTTTAAACAAATTCTCAACAACAGCTTTACTTTTCTTCACAGCAGTAGCGCTCACTGTTTTTTACATGGTTACATATTTTAATTTTCACAGCTGCTGTAGGCTACTATAGTAAAATGGGTGTTCCCCTCATAAATCAACGTCTCTTATTGTAGGCTCATTCAGTAGAAATTATCTTGTCAGACTCCCAATTCTATTTTAGCTAAAAGGCGTTCCCCACCCAAGTTCAGTCCTTCGCTAACTGCAATTGTACAATTAGTATACCATTATTTTTTTTAAAGCTGACTCACTGTTTTAACAATGCAACGGTTAACAATATAATCTGAGTAAGTTAATGCTTAAAACAGGCGTGATTGTTTAATAGAAAATTTGACGAAATTCGGAAACATGTTTGCCTTCATGCTATGCACCTTAAACAATTTAAAAACTATTCGTTATATAGCTAACCCCGAAGCCTATTCCCTCTGCAGTTGTGACTAAGTCAAGGTTAGAACAATAATTAAGTACAACGGTTTGAAAACTAAAGGTAAATACCTTACTAGTTTTAAAAGTAAGATTTAAGTTGTCTCCTAGAATATGAAATAGGAATAGATGCATAAGCCACCTTCTTAGCTTATAGTTCCAAGAACATTGTTCCTCATAAATATAACATGGCTAACATGGAAATGTCTGTCTCCATCACATAAGTATTAACCAGGTATTCAAATGACATTCCAGTAAGGACCTTATTCATAGTCCTAGCACCTAAGCATGCTAGCATACAACACTATGACTAGAAACTACAACACAAAATGTAATTATTCTTTTATTTTCAAAATTCTGTATTCAAACAAGTACATACAAAATGTTAAACTGATCACTTAGTAGGCCTACGCAAGATCTACAAACTCAATTCACCGACATTCAAGACAAAAAAAATCCCATTTGTTCATAATAAAAACAATTATCTTCAAAGAGTAAAATATGTACAAGTAGTTTAACTACAGTATGTACAGTATTTTTGATCCATCAGAGTTACCCCTCATAAGTGAAGGACATGTACACAAATAAAAGGAACTTGAGAACTTTTAAGCATTTATAAACTGCAGTCACTAGACAGGCCTCACGGGAAGTACAAAAGGCAAATGCTACAATGTCTACAACTAATATGAATAATTTGTTCTCGGGAAAAGTGAGGGATTGATGCGCTTTCTTAATTCATTTGAAATTTTACGTGACAATGCTGCATTTATTTCATGAAAAACAACTGTCTTGTGAAATACATGTGAATAGCAAATATTCTTCTGGAAATTTGGCACACATGCTCAAAT